CCTCCAGCCCGTCCCTGGGGACCAGGACACCTCGGGGGCCCCAGCTCTCACGGTGGCGGCTGCCTGCAGGACCCCGGGGAGCAGCAGGGAGGGCGCAGGGCAAAGTGCTGTTTTTGCAGACAGGCTGAGCTGGGCTGGGCTGGATTGGCCTTGTTTCCCCTGAGGCAAACCCGAGGAGGGGGACATCGGGCTGAGGAGTAGGGGGAGGACATCTTGCCTTTGGTGTCAGTGTCCTCGGGTCCCCTCTCCCAGGGGACACGGTCACATGCTGCCTGTCAGGCCCTGGGGCAGCCCGTGCCAGCGCACCCGCACAGCGAGGTACCTGCTGCGGGCAGGGAACAGCCCTGCGTCACCAGCACCCAGCGCGGAGCAGGAGACCCAGGGAGGAACAGGCTGTTCCCACCCACTCCCACGTCTGAAGGTGATGTCCACGCATGGTTGCACCAGGCCATCTGGAAGGACGCCACCAGCAGCACAACCCCTGGGGACTGCAGGTGACCCTGATGGTTTTCACAGCTCACCAGCTCCTGGGGCGCATGTTTTACCTAGGCCTGACCCACCCCTGGGCCCAATCCCCCACACCCCTTGGCCCGATCCCCCATCCTGAGACAGGCATCCTGGGTTTGGCCAGCTCCTGGCTCCTGCAAAGGGCAGATTGTCCATGCCAGGGCCACATTTGCCACCACCCATGAGGCAGAGTGAAGCAGGCCCCCCTCCCTGCCTGGCACCATGGATCCACTCCTTCTCGCCAGACATCAATCCCTCCACCAGCCACTGCGTGTGGCTGCCCCTCCCTGTGGGGGTGATGAAGCGGAGGCTGCCAGCGCAGCCCGTGCCCCCGGGGATATCCTGCACGGTGTGGGTGGGGACACAGGGATGGAGAGCAGGCAGAGGTGCCAGGCGCAGAAGGTCTGGTCAGTCCATGAGGGGCTGGATGCTCTCTCGAGCAGCAGGGAGAAGCGAGGACATGGTGCTGCAGGGTCCCCGAATGGGGTGAGGCTGGAGGCCAGGGTGTGAGGGGCTGGAGCAGACACCCAGTGACACCCGGTGAAGGCTCAGACTGAGGGATTAGCTGCCAGAGTGGGAGCTGCGAGCACACATCCACCCGATCCCCCACGCCCTCCAGCCGAGCACATGCTGGGGCTGGGGGAGGCGGTGAGGCTGCTTGGATTTCACAATGCCCAGGAAGCGGCAGGCAGGGGAAGGCACGGGGCTGCCCAGGAGATGAGTTACTGCTGGGATTCCTGGCTGGGGGAACATGGAGGAGACAAAATAAAACCTGCGCGAGTCCCCCATGCAGCTGCTGACCCGGCTTTTATTACATGAAACACAACCCTGCAAGAAACCCTCCTGCATGGCCCCATGGATGCATCCCACTGCATCCCACCACATCCCACCCAGGACGGTGGAGCCAGCCCCTCTCCGCCCCCAGGGACACCCCACTTGGCCCTC